ATATATATATATATATATATATATATATATATATATATATTGTATTCTATTGGAAGGTAGATTAGATAAAAATGGTAGTAGCCAATCAAATGAGCCCAATTCGGGTGGAAAAGAAGAAGATACCAACAATCGATCTTTCTGCTAAAGAATCACAAGTATCAAAGCTGATTATAGAAGCCTGTGAAGAATATGGTTTTTTCAAAGTCATCAACCATGGTGTCCCTCACCACATTATCAAAACCATGGAAGATGAAAGCTTTCGCTTCTTTCACAAAGCTTTACCCGAGAAACAACGGGTGGGGCCGGCCAACCCTTTTGGATATGGGAACAGAAACATCGGACTTAGTGGTGATACAGGAGAGCTTGAGTATCTTCTTCTTCAAACAAATCAGAACTCCATTGCTAACGCCTGTAAACTCATCTCCAGCGCTCCTTCAAAATTAAGGTATATATATATACATAGAGAGAGAGATTGTGTATTATTGCATGAATTGAAGTAAATTTTAGCATCATGCATTGGCATTCATTCATTTGGATATGATGGAAATAAAAGAGTAGCATCATGTAAATTGTAAGGTATCATGACTGACTCAAATATCAAGAAAGCTACGATATTGAAGAAAAATACAAACGATTGCCAAATTTGAGCTTCTTTAAGATGCTTACCACCTCATCTTAATTTAAATTAATCATTTATAACTTATTTGTCACCCCCTTTTTCTATGTCACAAACCATTTTAAATTAATCAAATACTATTTCATTCTTTTATTTAATCCTACCACCTTAATTAATTAATAGCTTAACGGACAGAATGCAGCATTGGAGTTTTTGTTTTTTCATTCACTAAATGAAATGAAACAAACTTTTCCCTAAAAGATATATATCGTTAAAGGATGATTTATCACAAAAGTTTGTAACAAATTATCTCCGAGATTCTTTGGGTGATCCATTGGTGCTTTCTCACAAAACATCGGTATCTACTGAACCCTTGGTATTACTCTGGATGATTTTTTGTGGGTAAAAGTCAATTATTTTGTAGTAAAAGTAAGATAAGAATCTTTAAAATTGAATATTGGTCAAGAATGAAAATTTGTTACAATAAATGTATTGCATAATTTATATAATTAATAATAGAATTTTCAAAATCAATCAACTTGATTGTATTTATAATTTTTCCTATAGATTTTTCTTTTTATTTAGGAAAAAAGTGTTAGAAATACTGTAATAGATTAAATATAATTAAAATGGTTATATGTGTTTTTAAAAACTAGAATGATTGTTTTTAGTCTTGAAAGAAACCATTGAATAAAAGTAATGGGAAGCTTTGACACTATACAAAAGATAATTAATGACATATACACCTTCTCTAAATCATATATCAAAAATATATAATAAGTCTTGATATTGATATTCACATATGAATAGATTTAAGAGTAGAGAGAGGAAGATGCATTTTCATTTTGTGTATAAAATATGTAAATAGGGGTAGATAGGGGATTGTGTAGGTCATGAAGATGTGTGAGTGAGAGAGAGAGAGAGAGAGA